CACAGGCAGAGCCAAGCAAGTCCCAATCGGAGGAAGCACAGAAGGGATGGGGTTGTAGGCTCCTTGGGACCCCACTCCACCTGTGCACTGCACCTGGCCCCCCCCCCCCCCCCCCCCCCCCCCCCCCCCCCCCCGAGGTAAATGTGTAAAATTGAATTATGAAAGAAAAAAATGGTCCTTCATATTTCTTTCTTGTCAGGGACCCTTCTGCCATTTCATTTGTCTCAGTTCACTGTGTTGGCAAATAATTTTCCTTGAATTTAGAATGGTGGTGCTCCTGCTGATCTTCTTAGCAAGGTTTTGACTGATTTTAGGCAGTGGGGAAATTTGAAAGGAAATTAGGAAAGTAAACCCCTCTTTTCCTCAATTTCTCTTTATAATTTTTATGGTAGGGTCAAAAGTAGTAGGCAGGTTTGGAGAAATCTGATTGAGTCTTGGAGGCAGAGTACAATGTGGTGTGGCAATGAAGGAAGTGACAGTGGCTCTTTTTCCTACTGTACCTTCTATGGGGTTTGTTGTTAAGGTGTCTGTGATAACCTGCTCTCCCTTTCTTATGGGAAGAGTTGCAGTATTCCATTCACATTTTGGGGTAAAGGAGCTAGTGCCCAGTGGAGGCAATCAGCATTTCAGGAGTAATAGAAAGTAGCCCTGCAAGATTGTGGCAAATCTATCTAGGTAGGGACTTTGGTAGGTGAACAGCTGGTTGTATACTGGCTGTTCAGTAGATGATGATCCTTTGCAAGTCTTAGGTGAAAATTGCCCGCTAAGAAAAAAGTTTTATATTTATGATATTTAAATTAATGATAGAAATAACAACTATACAAATAAAACTATCTTCTTATAAAGAAAAATGGGGTAATATGTTTGTTTTTGTACATTGGCAGAAGAGACTAAAAATGATGAAAACAGAAAGAAATCTGCAAAGACCCCAAATCAGAAAAATACCACAGATTTGAAACAGAAAGACCAAACATTTACTGTGTCACTTGTTGAATCAAGCACAAATACAAACTACAGAACTAGAGAAGATTCATCTGGGTCTTCAGATACAGCTTCACATTCATCAGACCAGGCTTTTTCTTCAAAAGAGAATCGTCATTTTCAAAATTATTACCAATCCATTTCAAAAAAAGCTCCCCACTTATCCCACAAGAAACAAACTGATAAGCAGAAACTTTCCGAAGTTAAATCATCTAAAAAACTGGGAGATAAAAAAAACAAAGTTAGAAAGCCTGCTCAGAAAGCTACTGGTAGAAGATTGAGAGTGCAAGTCTCAGAGGAGAGTTCTGTAAATCAGTCTGAAGAGGAAATGAATGAAAGTGAACTTTTACAATCAGATGAGGTGGTCATCCCATCATTGCAACAGGAATCACTTACATCTGCATCACAAAAGTCCTTGAAGTTAAACCCTAAACATGGGTTAAATTCATTAGGATCATTTGATGGTGTCTGTATCAAAAGCCCTGCCAAATTTCAGGAATCTCTACAGAATCTCATAGACAGTACTCCAAATGCTGGTGGTGGGAAAAGAGAATCAGCCAAGTCTCCAAGGAAGGCATCTCATAAGAGGACTCAGAAAACAAATCAAATCGTGTGCTCAGGTCCTGAAGATACAGAAACTAGCTATGCAGCAGGCCCTGAGGACTCTTCTCTTCAAAGCATGGCACAGCAAAAATGCAGGAAGGTGGATGCATCTGTAAAAACAAAAAAAGACCAAAAAAAGAGGAATGTGCATAGGTCACAGTAAGCGCTTTTTGTGTGTGGGTTTTAAAAAAAAAAATAAGGTGTGCGGCTTAATTTTCCCGGAAAAGTATGAGGCAGTATTCAAACAATTTAAAATGCACATGGCAACCTAGAACTAAATATAATATAGGTAATAGCTAAGGTTAGAGGCCTAATGAAACACGAACTAAATCTGTTTTTTTCTGCAACAGGAACCTATTGCAATCTCTTGTGAAGAATTCTGTTAGTATTACAGTAGCTGATTCAGTCCAAAAGGCTTACCTTGAAGGAGATGTTTTTAATTTTAAACTCTTCCGTCAAATTAAGCTGTAGAAAAATCCCGTAACTTTTATGCAGAGTATTGTCAAGAGAGAGCTCAGATTTCAGGTTATATTTGGCTGCCTCCTCTCCGCTGCTAGGTACGTTCAAAGCTGAGTGCCTGCCAGCTGGTGTGGTTTTGAACTTGCTGAGTGGAAGGGAGCCAGTTGACTCCACATGCGTGGCACTGGCATACCTACACGCCTTCCAGCCCTGCATGTGGGGCTGCACATGCTGTTTTTAAAGATCTGAGGGCACCAAGACCTTGGGATTGAGGACAGGCTCTTCAGTTTTGGGCTCCCAGCACCCTGGGACTTCTGAAAACTGCAGTTTTCAAAAGCTTTGGGATTCCAGAAGCTTGAGATTTGGAGAACCTCTCCGCAGTCCTGGGGTCCCAAGACTCTGGTGCCTTTCAAAACCAAATGTGCAGCTGCAACCCTTTCGACTTGCATGCCTCACATGCATTACAGTTTTAAAGAGGAAATATAACTAGTTAATAATCGTCTATAATATAGCTGACGTAATGTTTGTAATTATATTTATTTTTATAGGCAATAACATTGAGAAATCTTTTAGTTTGATTCTGCCAAGCTAAGTACTGTACACTTATTTGGTATTAGTATTTTTTTAAAAACACCTAAATACTCTCTCTTTACAGGAGAGATGTATTTACTTTCAGTAAACTTTCTAACAAGTTACATTTTTTCTAGAAGCTCTTCAGTATCTGAAGAAACAATGCATCATCACAGGTAATTACCACTGTTGTATACAGGAATTTTAATACTTTTTGTAGCCCTAAGACCCAACAGCCGTGTTGGACAAGAACAATTTTTTGTTTTGTATTTGTAACAGCACTTAGCGCAATGACCATTATGGCCATGTCTGGGACCCCTAAATGCTGTACTGTTACAAACAGTAATGTGGCAGATGTTTCACACTAAGATGAATGAGCCGTTGTGAAGATTTTGCTTTATTTTTCTCTGAAGCTTGCTGCTCTGACCCCAGTTAAGATTGCTCCTTTTAAATTCTGCTTGGTAAATTCCATATTTACTTAAATCCAAGATGGGGTCTTATTCCCTGCCCCCTGCAGTCACTGGAGTGGGAGAGCAGACACCTTAAGTTGAGTGTCAGCCTGGGGCAGGGTGTGGGTCAGCTCTGGCATTTGCCCCTCAGGGAAGGGCAGGGGAAAGGGCAAGCAGGGGAGACCTGCGGTAGTTTATTTTGCCTGAATTGCAAAAACGTTGGACTAAAACTGGGATGGACTTCAAAGGGTATGTACATGCACATTATCGAACTAGTATTTAACAGAGTTTACTCAAGATGTAGCAGTCTGGGGTAACAAGTTCTGTGCTCCTTGGTGCAGAAATTTGCATGTCTCTTAATGTTTTTTTCTGTTTTAGATGATCTCAGTGTGTTATATTAATCCATCCTAGCTCTTTCAGTCCAACATTATTACTATTACAATTCAGGCAAAAGAGTCTACCAGGTTCATTGAGTTATCTGGAACATGCAAGGAATTCATGAAGTTCAGTGTCCTTTCTTTTTTTCAAGCTTAGATGCGTTCATATTCTACATCTGATTTTTTCCTGCTTTTAATTCTAAGGACAGAAGTACTATTTGTTTTCTAGTTTTCCTGTCTAAGACCACAAATGTGCAACATAATGTCCACATTGTTTCCTCGCTTATGGTTTTCTTATTTTACTGACAAATATTTTAACACGTTTAGGAGGAAAAATTGATAATATGCTATGAAATAAAACTTAGAAATTTGGTTATTAGTGGCTTTGTAAACAAAGTTATTCTTTTATGTTAATACAATTTCTGTTTTCTTTTTTTGAGTGGGCCTGTTCAGACACAGTATATTAAACATACTTCAAAAAATGACGAGCCCATTGCTTGTGAATTGGACAGTTCATCTTCAGGTATGTTTTGGTAGCATTTTTCTTATGTGCATAAGAAAGGAGCACAGAAAATAATAATTGTGGTACTTGGTGTTTTTGCCAGCTATAGATTTTACATAATTTTTGGAAATACAGTAGCTTTGGGTTGGATTTGGATGTGAAGATAATGAATCTGGATGAAGCCGGGGCTTTGTGGAAAATGATATCATGTGATCATATAATAAATTCTCAAAGCAAATGTACATGGGTGCAGAATTAAAGTTAAACTTTCTAACTTTTGAGTGTGTGATGTTTATAGCATGGTTATGGTTACACAGCTTTTATGTACTTTTAAAAGTTTACTCTGACCGCAGTCAAACTGTCTCTGCTTGTTTTCTTGGCTGAAATTTCAAATGTATTGAAAGGAATTAGAAGTGCGTGTTTCAGTGAGTTTCACTGGGGCCTTTGTCTCTAAATTTACTCAGTACTTTGGAACTCTTTGCTTTTGTTCAGGTATGTCCAACTGGAGGTCCCCAGGCCACACGCAGGATGTAAAGAATGACTTTTCAGCCCATGGGCTCCCATCTGGTTGCTGCTCCTTCCCATCTAGTCTTTGGGATCCCCCTCCCTTTTTTAGCTTCTACTTCCTGCCCCCGCCCCTGGGGTAGCATGGCAAAGCCTATGGTGCTAAGGAAGCTGGCTGCCTTGGAATGCCAGTGGTGAAGCATGGAAGCCCATTGTTAGACAGCTGAAGATGAGGGCTTGGGTGTGTGTGCAGTGCAGCTGGAGGGTGAGGGCAGTGTGTATAGTGCAGTTTAGGGGGTTAAGACTTGCACTGGTATAGCCTGTTGATCTCTCGCTGCTTACAAGTTGTACAACTCTGGTTTAGTTTGATATATTTTACAAAGAGAAGGAAGCCCCAGTTGTTATATTTTTGTATGGTCTTTTCAGATACTTTTGTGGAAAGTGACCTGACTATCAGGCGTTCATTAAGGCATAAAATAGGTAAGACAATTTAAAAAACTATGTAAAATACGAATAGGTTTTCAGGCTTTCATAAATTATGGTGTTCAATAAATATTCATCAAAGCTCTTGATAAATAAATTAATAGGTGTTTTTTTTCATTTTATTCTATGACAGTCTTCACGTTCTCAGTGAAGTGTAAGGTTTTGTTTTGCAACCATATAGAAATCCCTTAAAGAGTTTATATTTTTTTAAATGAAAATGTTTCACAAAATTCTAATATTATAAAAGCCGTAGTCTGTCTGTCAATAACGCTTTATTTGCGCTCTGATTGATTGGCTGTTGGAAACAATCAATCAGAGTGCAGATACAGCATTAGGACAGGAGGTGGCACAGCAAAGCACTGCCATGATGGTGGGGACATAGGGGACAGAGCAGCAGGGGTGGGAGGTGAGACCAGCACAGCTGGCCTCGCCTCCCCTGCCCTGCTCCCTGGAGGTGACAGCAATGGAGCAGATGGTGCCAGCAGGGGTGGGGGGCATACTTGGCCTAGCCTGGCCCCCAAAATGGAAGGTATGGGGGGCTGTGTCAGACCCCACAATGGCAGCGAGGTGAGCCCAGCACTGGCCCCACAGTAGCAGTGGGGTGGGTGGGGGACAGGTCTGGCTCTGCAGCGGAGTGGGCGAAAGGGAAGGAGGCGGCAGTGGTGGCATGAGGAACAGGGTTGGGGCCACCACGGCAAGGAGGGGGTAGGGGGTGCGCCGCCAAACCCGAACTCTGGGGGGAACAGGGTCAGGCCTGAAGTGATGTGGAGGGAGGGGGAACAGTCTGGCCCGAATTGGGGGAGGCGGGCCTGGATGCTGGGCTGTCCCTGCTGGCCCATTGGGTGGGGGTGGGAGAAGCAGCCCTGGCCCTGAGGTGGTGGGGGCAAGGGTGGGGGGAATGAGCCTGGCCTCAGGCCTCTGTCCCACCCCCCGGCAGACGACAGAGTGGACAGGCCAGTGGCATTGTCCCCTGCCGCAGCAAGGGCAGTGCTGCTGTGCCCAGTCCTGCAACCCTGGAGGCAATGGGGCGGATGCAGTGCTGACCTGGCTCCCCTGCTCCCTGCAGGCCATGAAAATAGAGAGGATGGGGGGTTGGGGCAAGGCCAGCACTGCTGGCAGTGGAGTTGATGGGGAGGCAGCGCCAGCAGATGGAGCGGGGGGTGGCCCCAGCCCCGAAGCAGAAGTGGGGGAGAGCGGTAGTGGTGGGCCTGGCCCCAAAGGTGGTGGGGGAGCAGGGCCAGATGCAGGCTGCTGGTCCTGGCTGCCCCCCCACCTCCGTCATTTTTGACAGGCAGTTGGCTAGTAGAATGATTAAGACCTAAGTGGGCAGTCTGTTTTTTAACCCTTGCCTTTCTGTGTTTTTTAATAATGTTTAGTTCTGGTATGTTCCAGTTGTTTTATTTCCCTCACTTTAGTTTCATTATTTAGAAATCTATTCTATTTTAAAACTATTTTAAATGCCTGATGATTTATGTTAAACATTGCCACTTTATATTAAACTTCTCCATACTTAAAGCTCTTTTAAGAATCTTACCCTCATACCCTGCAGCCTCTGCCTTCCAGTCCCCCAGTCATGCTCTTAAGGTCCTCTATGCTAATTTTATCTCCTTTTGTGTTATAGTCCAAGGTAAGTGCTGGGGTCCCAGTATATGCCCATGTCTAGTACACCAGAAAAATTAAAGTTCAGTTTAGCATAGAATATGTGTTTTTGGTGGTGCATGGAATTCTGTTTATGCATGGAGAGCTCTCTGTATTCTGTTGGAAGATATGTTGGATCCATGTGGGTAGGAGTGAGAGGAGCTCTAAGCCAGGGGGTGTCAACCATGGGTATGTGTATCCCTGGGGGTACTTGAGAAAGCTTTATTGGGTACATGTGGGTGGGCGGGGATGGAACATTGCCATGCACCATCCCGTGCTGCCTCACAGGCCTGGCTGGACATGGGGGGTGGGGCAAGCTTGCATGTGTGTGTTTGGCTGTGCTCTATCCCCCCTCCCCGCCACCCCGTGCCCAGCATCGTGTACTGGGATTGGGGGCCGCCAGCACAGCACATTCCTACCAGGGATCGGTGCCACCCCTGCACTCTGCATGCTGCTGCTTGCCAGCCCCTCCCCGGGGAACACTTATTAAAAAGGGGGCTGCCGGGATTGCACTTATTAAAACAGGTTAAAAACCCCTGCTCTAAGCAAATAAGGTCTCTGTTGGACAGGTCCCTGCTATTGAGTCTGAAGGCAGGAAAAGCCTTGGCCAGGCTCTTTATGCCAACACAAATCGTACTTTTTCACTGGTGTAGAGACTGTTGTTGGACAGATAAGATGGGATAACTGCATTTGAAAGAATGTTATTGGCAATATTTGTTTTATTTTCCTGTTTAACAAAAAGAGATCTATTTTAAGTACTAATGCAGATGGGATGAATATTTTGTGTTAGGAGCAAAGCAGATTATTAATTAAGCTATTTTCTGTTAAATGCTTCTGGTAAAAGATTGAATAATACATAAATGGTACTGAATTTGATACTCTCTAGCATTTGCTGGTGAAAACACTTGGTATGCTATTCAAATGCTTCCTTTGGTCTTGGAGTACTTGTCAGCAGCTCTCCATTTTAAATTTTAGCCAGAAAGCTGGTTGGATTAAATTTAAGGTTTAAAAAACATCCTTGTTTGAAAGGTGAACCTTGTGTAACAATTTGGCAAAAGAGCACCTAATTTATAAAGCAGTTGTTACTTATTCCAGTTCAACCATGGAGAAAAGTATGTGCAATTCAAATGATACCCTGTAGAAATTATAGGATGGCTTGTGGTATGAAGAATGATGGTTTTCTTGTATGCTCTTGAGTAGAGCTCAAGGTTTAGAGGAGCTGATAAGAGTATCTTAAATCTTCCACTGATAACTTCTCAGTGTCTTTTCTATAAATTACAAACTATTTTAATTATTTTTAATGTTTTCATATAGTAAAGCCTTCCAACACGCCCAATGTTCGCCGAACAAAAAGAACACGACTAAAACCTCTGGAATATTGGCGAGGAGAGCGTGTTAACTATATGAGTAGACCTTCAGGTATTGCCTCTTAACTCCTATGTTTGCTTGCCTTTGATTCTATACAAAAACAAATGGTTTCTAACTGAGTCATAGTTATTTTATAATTATTAAGTATTATAAAGCAAAATATTAGTTGGTGCCAGCCCACTCAAGGCCTCAGGCAGTGACTGTCTTCTTTACCTTATTTCACTCGCACTCCCCATAACCTTCACACCCATGGCAGTGTCAGAAGAAAACATTTAAGCTTTTTTATGAGAAAAAAAAAGCTATCCTTTCTTTAGGTCTGCATGCTGTGTTCCTACCTAAAGAACAGATGGTTTCTTCAAATTTGTATCCCTTTGCACCTGCCTGGCCTCTTATAGGTGTTCTCTAGTGGCTTTATAGCACACACCTGGCGCCAGTTGCAGGTGTGTCCCTGGGGCCTAGGCATTGGTGCTGTCCTTAGCGGGCATTCTTGTGGCTGCACCTCCCCTACACCCCAGCCATGCACCAGCCCTTAGGATGGCTGGATGATGGGTTGCAGGCCTGTCCCTTGATGTCGTTGCTTGTTTCCTCTCTCCCTGCCCATTTGTCATCTCTTCACCCAGGAAGGCTGCGGGCGTGAGACCCCCCTTGTCACGGTGCCAACTCTTCTCTCAAGGCATAGTGGTCCACTGAGTTGCCTGGCTTCTTTCCTTTTTGACCTGAGGGGTAACCCAAAGCCTCCCTCTCTGATTTGGGGCTCTTGTGGACCCTCCAAAACAACAGCACAAAAAAAAGGGGAAAAGAAAGGAATAGTTGGGGCATGGGGGTTCAGCCTGCCCCACTCACAGGTCCAGAGTCTGTGGTCCTCAGGATCCCTCAACGCTGTCCTCCTAGGCCTGGCTGCTCTGCTGAGCTGGGGAGATGCCTCTTTTAATGGAGCTGGGACCCCTCCTGTGGGTCTCCATCTGGCTCCTTGTTGAGCTGCCAACATGGCCCGTGTACAGCTCAAGGAGCAGCCTTGCCTCCTGGCTCCGCTCTCCCCTCCAATCCCGCGCCGCCGGCTTTTAAATTAGCTGGTCGGCAGTTTTTGATTGTCATCGGCTGGCGCCACTCCCAGCCAGCAATAAAAGCAGCTGACAAACCGCGCGGGCTCCATTCTTTCTGAAAATAGTAAGTAGGTAAGTAAATGTTCAGGGCTTTTTGTTTCTTTCTTCAAGCAGGTCAGCCCTGTCCTGGGTCCTGCTGCAGGAGGGTGCCCTTAGGGCCTCTGCTTGTGTCCCCCTCGGACACCGTCTTTTAGCTGAATGATTCTCTACTGTATGAGATATAAAAGACTAAATGGGACATTAATTGATCTGTGGTCCAATGCAAGGCTGTGTTCCCCACTACATATTATAATCATTCAGTCCCAAATTTTAAACGCTAAGGTGGTGGAATTTAACTTGTCAAGGATCATTCCTGGTACTTACTAAATAACAATATGTAAGTCCCATTCTTTGAGAATTGCTATAAATTCTTTACCATTCTTGATTATTACACATTTCACAATTTTTACATTTGTATCTTGTCTTCTTTTAA